CTCCCCAAAACCCCAAAACCCCAAAACCCCGGTACGAACTTAAGTAACTGAACCAATAATATAACTTTATAATAACATCGAAAACGAATATGAATTGCCATTCTTGTAAATTGCCAACTACTCAAAATGACTTCCAAACTTTGCCTTATTGCAGAATCTGTAGAGGTAAGTGGACCTTCTAGGTTTGCTAAAAACTGCGATTAGCAGACATTTCGTAAATGATACTCTATTCAATGGTGAATTCAGGAGCAAAAACTCATCTTTTTGTATAGCTGCGGAACCAGAATTCACATGGAAATCACCTAATTTGTACCAAGCTCAGCTCCAAACTCCCTTTATGGTTCAAAAATCCCCGGTTTTTTGTGATATGGCAGGATATTTTGATTTACCGGTTTCTTTAAACTTAAAAAATGGGCAATCTCCTTCTCCTTTTTCGCCGTGTCTTCCCTTGCAACCGGTCGAACCTGAGATAATCCGTGCCAAAATGACTAGTGGGTCTGCCTAGCTCTTCAGTTACTCCCCAATATGATGGATATCTTCAAGAAAGTGACGATGAAGAGTGAGTACCACATAAAATTCCAGGATCGATATTCCTTTTCAACACTTTTCTTAAAAATCAAGGAATTTTTATAATAAATTTTTGATAGGCTCGTTCAGATTCCTCAGTGTAACCAGAAGAATACTGAACAAACGGGACTGGGTCTGAATCCACTGATGTTTTCACCTAAGATTGCCTTCCAATTTGATAACTTAAAGGAGGGTGCTAAAGAATCCGAGCCAAGTAATATCTACAATGCCCATACCGGTGACAAGAGTACCAGATCTATGGATGTTAAAGAAAACCCGACCAAAAATGTAACAAAAGATCCAAAAATCCAAGGCGGATATGCCTTCATTGACTCTGTTTTTCCTGGACAGGACAAGATCAAGGTCCGTGAGGCCCACTTAGCCAGGATTATGAAGAGACGAGCTGCTAGAGCCAAAGATTCTTTTGCCAAACTCAGCCATGTAACCCATCGGGCAAGAACAGAAGGCCCAATGCATGGAAGTCGTAGCAGGTTTGCTAAGCAAAGACCAAGGGATCCAAACGGCCGTTTTTACACTAAGTACGAAATTGAGAAGCTCAGGCAGCAGGATTACATCCAAGCAGTGGTTGCTTACCTCCAATCCCAAACAGTGCCAGGCCAATCTGCAGAGTAAGCTAAATTTTGGCTAATTCTTTTAGAGCTGTAAAGAGCCAATCATATAAAGAGGTTTTGAAATCTTTCCCTGAAAGAGTATTTAAAATCACCAAGGCACCTAAAATAGCTTAATTGATCTGTAAAATGTGATTTCATCTTTCTTAAATATTGGCAGGGACATTATAGTCATATAATCGTCAGAATTACAAAGATTTGTGCACATTATCCAATTTGTTAGTTCTCTCAATATAATTCTTCGATGAGGGGTTTTGGGGTTTTGGGGTTTTGGGGTTTTGGGG